CACTATGCCATAGTGTGTCGACTTGTACAACTTAGCCGGCTGTTTATTGTGAGGATGGTCAGAGGCTACAACCAAAGCTGGGATACAAATTGATGTATTATTATATCATGGTTCAGTAGTCCCCCGGGCCCTCCGCCGACCGGTAGGAGCATACCCGTTAGGTTGGACGGGGTCAGCCTTCATAGAGACGACGAATTCATCACTTTCGCGCAGTGCGACTGGCTTGCTCACGCTCTCGGCTCAGCTTTAATAGGTAAAATAACAAGTAAAATGACGTTGTAAAATACATACGAGACCAATAAAGCGCGGAGTCAGCAGCCGTGGAGATACGCGGAACGTGAATGTCCATACGGAAGCAATGTCAGCCCTTGCTACCAACCCTTACAGGGAATGGATCGCTGCCAGTATACCGACCAGAGGCCATCAGTCATGCTGCTCTTCGATGGATGCCCACCTCAGGCATCGGCATCTATGCTCTCACAAGCTGAAATGTATACCATCATTGACAAGTGTACGAGATAACTTCTAGACAACGCACCCTTCCACTTGCCCATGATGTGATCACCAGATTGCCACGAGTTCAGAGGATCATCGAGTCTAAACCTGGGATCCTTGCACTCTTCATAAAGCATGAAAGAGAGGGTGCCGTATTTGCGAACACGGTCCAAAACTTCCTCCGAAATGTCTCGTACCAGATTCGTTTTGTTCCTGAACTTGTAGCCTGCGCGATCCACCCACGATCCGGTAGTACCAGCCCTGAGGATACGGCGATCCGCCGCCGTTTTACTGCTGTCAATCAGAGTCCACTCCTGCATTGCCACTCGTATTTTGGCGCCGCGTGGTGTTAGAGAAGGGTAAACCTTCAAAGCGCAGTTCATAGCGTAATTCACAAGATTATCCAACATCTGAGATATCTGGATATCAGATGGATATTATCAGACGAATATTTGCAAAGAACGCGCACCCGGAAATCCATAAAGAAATCAATGGGAACCTGGAACTTCTGGCGGTATCCGTTGACGAAGCAGATTGGTCGCTCGCTGTAGGAACGGGCTCCTTCCCAGGGGAATCCGAGAAATACTGGAGAAGGCTTCCGCATTTCCAGGACGTTCTTGAGAACAAGCTTGACTTCGCACCGCGTCGACTCAGCCATTGCGCTCACATTGTCGAGTGTTGAGCGTGCTGTCACGGCGATGCGATGCGTGTCTTCCACGCTCTCCCTACGTATTGCGTCCACGTCAATAATGAAACAAGCTGTGCTCTTCGTGGAGCAGTTATGGGACAGTGGTTGTGCGAATTGAAGAAACCCACCGATTGAGCATGGAAAGCGCAAAATGGACAGAATCTCTATGCCTGCGTGCGTCCTCCCTATACCTCTGCAGTTCTTCCTCCGCAAACAAGCGCCATCCGGCTCTGAGCCAGAGATCCCTCCAGTGCTTCGGGTATCGGCCCCTCAAGCGCTGCTGCTGCCATACGATACTCCTCTCCATCTTCTCGAGCGACGCCCGGCAAGCCGCTATGCGCGCCTCGATGTCCCGCCGGAGCTCGGTCGGCATGCGAGACGGTGCACGGGGAGTATGAAGTTCGTTCTGGAGGGACGCGAGAGCCCCGGATAGGGTGTGTAGTTCCAGCAGGAGCTCGCTGTATCGCTCGGAGTTGCCCGCGCTGCTTGCGAGCCGGCTGATCACGGACGCCGCGAGCTGGACGAGCGAGACTATGTCGCCGAAGGAGCCGAAGCTTATGGATATCGACATCGCACACTACAGTCAAAGAGAGGGGGGGAGTATTATGGAACGCAAATTATGCAGCAGAGATACGAAGCATTTTGCACGAGGCAGACTGTTTCTCATGAGTACAGCAATTGGGACCCACATCGGATGGCCTCCCTGATATCTGCACGGTGAGCAACGGATGAACGTGACTATAATACCAGGATAGGAATTAGAACATGAGAATAGGCGTGCGCACCTGACCTACCATTCAAACTATGCACGGATTCTTCCTGAGTGGTGTCGTGTCCTGGAGGGATGACTCGCAGTCGCTCGCCAGCCGTAACGTAGTACTTGTCGACTGTTCTGTAAACGACACGTCAGGATTGCTCACGTATGGACTCAGGATCCGAAGTTCATATTCCACGGATCGTACGGCTCGAACACTGGTGAAATGTAGATTTAATGTGAGCAAGTCGACTCGTGCAATAACCGGTGATTCGGATCAAGTCAAGTCTGCCTTCGGCTTTCCCCGAGGAAAGAGTGATCGACGACATTGGGAGATTTCTTGACTCCTTGTGCTCAAAATCTTAATGTCAGATTCACATATCTGGTGACCGGTGATCGCTCACAATGAATATGGCCAAGAAGAAATCAAACGCCCCAACGAAGTCTGCTGCGAAGGCCGCAAAGAAAGCAAAGGCGGCACAGAAAGTAGAGAAGAAGGAGAAGAAGAAACAGGGAAAGTCGAAGGAGGAGGCGGAGGATAGTGATCAGGATCTGGAGAGCATATTGGACAAGGTGAGTCGCGTACGCTGGTAAACCGGTCAGCGATGTTGCGCGGACGATGTCGGAACGACCCGTTGAGTTGAGGAGGGCCTGTCAGTAGGGCAGACCTGCCGACACCCACCGGTCGCCTGTCGTCCTTCGCCCAACACCTGCAGACCTATCAGGATCTCACTAAATACTTCCTAATGGTTAGTAGCTCAGAAGGGAATGGGAAGATGCGCACAAAGTGACCGAGGAGGTGGTCGAGGGACCTCCCAGCCGTCGTGCAAACGCCACACTCATACCCTGCCCGAGCGGGAACTACCTGTGGTGCGTAGGGGGAGAATTCTTCTCCGAAGATAAGAAGGCCGTGAGTGCTGGATCATAATATTTGCGACATGTAGTTCGCCTGCGACCGTACTCATCCGCTGGATCGGCGATAGCACTTCTACAACGACGTTTACCGGTACTCCCCCGAGAAGGTACGAGATCACCCTGCCAGCTCTCTGTCACCGTGGACCGTTTATCCGCCTCCGTCAGAATGAATGGAGAAAGTTTATATCTCCTACATGTCCTGGCCCTCGCTCCGCCCACGCAGCAGTACCCTCCCCCGCAGGTGGTGGAAAGATATGGGTCTTCGGTATGTACATTTTATGTCCGTCTGTCCACCGACTCGCTCCGCCACAAGTACGCCCTCTATGGAGCAAAAGCGTGACCTCACGGACGACTGTATTACTCTGCTGCAGGCGGCGAGTTCTCCTCCCTTCACCAGACGACGTTCCACCATTATCGGGACCTGTGGTGCTTCGATATCACTACCCATGCATGGGAACGTATCGAGACTAAGGTCGTACCTTCCGCTAGGAGTGGACATCGGTAAGCGTTTGCGTAATTTGCTTCTTAAGACTGCGTTTTCAAGGTCTTCACTCAATTCTTAAGGATGGCGATGTGGAAGCACTACATAGTGTTGTTCGGTGGATTTTACGACCCAGGTATCACTAGTAAGTCTCGCAACCACCAATCGCGCGTCGTCCTTCAAGCCTCTCCTAGCGCGGTACCTGAATGATCTCTGGTTGTTTGACACGCAAGAATACCGCTGGAAACAGATCGAATCGAAAGATGGGGAACGGTGGCCATCGTACGTCTGATTCCCTTTCCAAGTCTGAGCACTCTCGAAGACATTGCTGGATCGTCTGACTTTCCGTGACTTCGCCCTGCCATCTATGGCATTAGACCTCGCAGCGGGTTCTCGTTCCTCCCGACGCCTGAAGGTATTCTTCTCCACGGTACGTCCGGTCTACCCTACGCATCACCCTGGGTATGGATGTGCCTGGACTGTTTCAGGTGGGTATTGCAAGGAATACGTCAAAGGTAAACGACCAGTCGGCGTCATGCTGGACGATACCTGGTTCCTGCGGTACGTTCTTCGCCCCGCGTATTCGCCCGCTTTGCCCGTCCTAATCTTCAACTAACTATCCCATTCTCGACCATTTAAAGCATTACCATGAACGAAACGACCGCCGCCCCAGACACCGGCAAGCCCACACCGAAGGCGAAGGAGAAAGACGTGCTGCCGCTGACACTCAAGTGGGAGCGGCGGAAGAAGGTGGGGTACGCGCCGAGCGTGCGGAGCGGTTGTACCATGGCGCTCTGGCAGAATAAGGGTATGTTTCATCTTGTTCGTGTACACGGGAGGGTTGGAAATCGAGTTGAACGGGATGGTAGGGATGGGGCTGCTCTTTGGCGGAGTCACGGACGAGGACACGAGCGAGGAGGGGCTAGAGAGCGTTTTCCATAATGACCTGTGGGTGTTTGATATTTGACGGAGTGCTCTTTGAGTATTCAGTATCGTCAATGCTAGATATGGTTATCAGCTAGCTGGGAACGGCAGATGGGTTTCCCTGACCCTCAAGCGACCGAAGAAGCCTGGTGGCAAGCGGAACAAGAAGCCTGCGAAACCCTTTAAGAAGGACGAGAGTGAAGACGAGGAGTACGAAGGGGAAGAAAACGAGGGCGAGGTAAGCGCTGTGTCCAGGTCGTCCGTCTTCATACTTACTGCCCGACAGGACGCTGAAAGGGGAAAGCCCTCCAACACCCTAACCTCAAACGGCAAACCGAGTGTAGGCTCGAACAACGTTGATGAAGACGATGATCCGGATGATCCCAACAAGACGATCCCCCTTACGAGGTACAACGCGATGCTGGCCGTGCTGAGGAACACACTGTACATGTACGTCATCTGATCTTCGATCGCCCGCTCAGCTGTTTATTCCCCGTAATTCGGATGCAGTTATGGCGGGATCTACGAACGCGGCTCGCGGGAGTACACCCTTGACGACTTCTATGCCCTCCAAGTCGATAAGATGGACAGGTATATATGCCTCAAAGAGAATAACCTCGTGCTTCCGGCAGAAGGTGAAGATATCAGCAGCAGTGAGAGCGAAGATGATAGTGATGGGGAGGACAGCGACGATGATGGAGACCAGGACGACAAATCCAACGAGAGTGACAAAGAGGAGAGGAAGATCGAGGAGGAAGAACCAACCGAGGAAGAAAAGGCGAGTGTGCTATCTGGCAACTTACACAGTCATGCTGACCGCAGTGTCATAGAATGCCCTACGGTCACAAGCTACCGCCTTCATGGGCGTGGCGAAAGACGCGACACGCTCACCTGAGGATATTTTGAGCACGCCGTTACCGGGGGAAACTTTGGCGATGTTCTATGCCCGTTCACGTGAGTCGCTTAGCTTTGCTATGTAAGCCGTGGTGTCGACGGAGTACATAGGTGAGTATTGGGCTGGAAAGGCTCATTCGAGCAGCGATAATCGGGGCAAGCTGCTTCGTCGAGATGGTTTCGCGATGGCTCAGGAGCGATACGGTGAGGGTCGTTCGCAAGTACAAATATATTCCTGCTGACCTGCTGTGATAGCGGAGTACGAACCGATTCTGAAAGAAGTAGAGAAGATCCTGGCTGAAGCCGGTCTCGACGAAGAGGAAATGCGGCGCAGTGCTGCAGCGGGAGCCAGTGGTGGGACGGCCGCGGGTCAAAGTCGCAATCGCCGGTGATAAAGATTGTTGAACATCAAGAGTTGTCCCAGCTCCGGACCATCTTCTCACTCATTGAGGCTTGTAGATCATTGATGTATTAGGTATATAGGCGTCAGGAGACCTAGGCAAACGATAGCGAGGGATAGCGAGGATCGTACAAAGGATACAGTCGTAACACAACAGGAGAGGGGCGTGCATATGTACATTTTGACGTGCATTGATACAGATAGAACCAACATCAGCGACCCAAAAAGGAGAGAGCGTAGCGGTACATTTATTAGAGCAGCGACGACATTCGGAAAATGGTGTCCTAAGATTCTTCTTTCTTTAGCCATTCATCAGAGGAAGTGTTGTTTGCTTCTGCAGCATCGACGGCTTCCAGGAGGTCAGCGTCTGCATCAGCGTCAGCGTCTGCATCGGCATCTGCATCGATACCAGTATCCACCTCGGCTTCGCCATCTGCATCCGCGTCCGCATCAGCGTCTAGGTCCATGAGCTGCGAGGGCGAATGAGCTCTACTAGGGCGGTCGGTGGCAGGGGGAGAAGGTTTACTCGTGGTGGCAACACCGGTCTCGGCAGGAGAGTTCGAGGCGGAAGATGGGCCCCCGCTCATAGGACCATTGGATAGCGAGGTAGAGTGCGACATCCCTCCTTGTTCATCTTCTCTAGGTCGACGCTCACGTTCGTCGGTGTAGTGCGGGCGCGGACTTCGACCCAGTTCAGAACGGGATTCCAGGCGATCCTGGGTTGGCCCTGGATAACGGTCAGTGACTATGTTCCCTGGGATCGGCACGTCACGTACCTGTCAGCGAGGCATGGGAGGGTGATGGACGCATATCGTGCCCACGCTCGTCTCGGTCCCGTTCGCGATCACGATGTGCTGATGCCCCCGATGGCGATGCATACTGCGGACCCAGCGTTGGCGGCGGCGAATGGCGAACAATCAGGGTGTCGGTGCGTTGAATGGACCGATCAGAGTCCTGCGATCCGTGCGGCGCAGGCGCCGATCCCTGCATATGCGGGCTGCGGAAACTGCCGTGGGGATGCTGTTGGGCGTGCTCGGAAGAGTGCTGCGCTAGCTGGCGGTGATGCATGTGTGGCCCGAGGCTGCCCGAGGAGAGCTGCTGACTCGAATCCGCGGCCGTGTTGCGCCTCTCGACCCTCTTCATCTTCTTGCGGCATCTGCGATGGTGGCGCGCTAAGCGGCGGGGCAGGCGAGGGCACAGCGCTGATAGACTTACCTGTCACATACGGTGCCGGGGCCGTCGGGGCCGGGACCCCACTTCTCGACGCATTTGCCGTCCTTGTAGCGACCGGGCAGACCGCACTGGCGACAGATGCGTTGCCCAGCAGCGTTTTGGGGGGGATACCCACCCGCTGAAGCGCCCGACGGGCCGGAGATCACGTTGCCGTTGGGTCCTGCAAGCATAAACGCATCAGCACAACGCCCTATGCGTCGGCCCCGTTCCTGCACTCACCGAGCGTCATGACGCTGCCGCTGCCGTTCAGCGCGGGGCCCTTGCTCTTCTTGACAGGCGCGCCGGTCACGACGGGCGCGAACGTGTGCGTGTTGAACGTCTGCATCTGGCCCGCCTGCTGCAGCGGCCCGTGCCCGTGCTGCATCGACCCCGGCGAGCCCATCCCCGGGCCGACCATCTGCGGTGGCATCCCGACGGAGCTCTGCGCGCGCGGGCGGTGCGGGTAGCCAGGCGGCGGCTGGAAGCCGGGCGGGTACGCGTCGGGCGGCGAGGGCGTGCGGTGGTGCGAGCGCGAGTGGTGGTGGTGCGCGCGCCGGTGCTGCGCGGGGTCGAGGACGGCGCCGGGCGGGAGGAGCCCGGCTTGCTGGGCTTGGGCTTGGGCGTGGGCTTGGGCCTGCGCGGCGCGGTCGTCGTCGTTGGCGGCTTCGAGGAGCATCTCGTCGAGGCTCTTGGAGCTCGAGCGGCTGGAGGAGCGCGAGACGGGCGAGCGCGTGAGCGAGCGGCCGCGCCGGGGGTAGGGGCCGGGCGGCTGCCGGTCGGCGAAGCTGGCTTGCTGCATCAGCCGTTGGCGCTTTAGTAGGTCGCGTTCGGAGTCGTGGCGGTGGGGTTGGTGCGGATCGGAGGGGCCATATGGTTGGCCTTGTGCGCTGGAGGATGGATATTGGGAGCCTGAACCTGGGGGAGGGGGACCTTGGGCATGGTGGAGGTGGGGAGAGTCCATGGGCTAGAATTTAAAGTCAGCGGTGGAATTCTCTCAGAATCGCTTGTCATCATATGTAGAACGCGCAAGGGAGGGTTGGATAGGGCTAACAGGTGCAGAGGAAGGAAGGAGTTTATGTGAGGGAAGAGACTGACCGAGTCGATGAAGGAGTCACGTGTGCGCTCTCTGCCGCTCCTCTGCCGCTTACTAGGGGGAACTGGATATCCGGCTGCATCTAAACTGCCCGCGCGCGGTCTTCTATTCGACGCACTAGGATTGGGATTCGGGGGAGGCGGAAGCGGGAAGGACTGAAGCGTCTGAGCATTATGTGACATCGTAGAGCGATGGGGCATGGTCGGGACGCGCGATGGGCCGTGCGCGGTGTGGTGTCGCGAGACGGGGGGCTGGGGTGGCATGAGCATGTGCGGCGCGTGCTGCGAGAACATGGGCTGCTGCCCGGGGTACGCGGACGCGGGCGTCTGGCCGGGCACGGGGATGGGCGTGAGGACAAGCTGGCCGCCGCCCTCGGCAACGATGCGCGCGAAGCCCATGCGCGCGTCCGCGGCGCGCATCTCGACGACGGCGAGGTAGCGGCTGAGCTCCTCCCAGGACTCGGAGACGACGCGGAGGCGCGCGAGGGCTTCGTCGCGCTCGATTTCCGCTTTTTCGCGGTCGTTCTCGAGCTTCATGATCTGCTTGATCGCGCTTTCGGGCAGGGTCTGCGTGGGCGTCGTCGGTGTCGGCCCCGAGCTCGAGCCGGGCGGGGACGAGCCAGAGCCGGCGGACGCGGGGACGCTGATGGCGTTGAGCAGACGTTCGGCTTTCTCTGCCCGTCTCCTCGTGGCTGAGAGCTCGCGTCTGAGACCTTCGGTCTCGCGGAGGGCGTTGGCCAGCATGGTCGCGAGCTGGGCGGGGGAGCCGTTATTGGCGTTGGCGTTGCCTGGGGCATTGCTAGCGACGGCACCGTTGACGGTGGTGTTCAGCGGGGAGCGGGTGATCGAGGGCGACGTTACCGGGACGGGCGGCGGGGGCTGCGGGGAGTCGGTCATCGTCGGAAAGGCCGGGGTCGGTCAGCGGGGCGGACGACGACGACGAGGGCTTGGGGGACGGACGCGGGGGCGGCGGCGTCGCTGTGTCGGGTGGCGGAGAGACGGAGGGGCGGGAGACGGGCATGCGAGCATTTGGGCCAAGGGCGGATGATAAGTACGGGCGGCACGTTGGGAGGCCTTCTCGCGTCAGAACAGTCCCCAGCTTCCTCGGCCGGTTTCGCCGTCCCCGAATTTCCTTCCTGGGCGTCCGGAGCTGCCTTTCTCTGCCAAGTCATGTGCCGGCACTCGGCCCCGCCGGGTTCAGGGTCCCGACGGACTCCGGCCACCGCCCCGCCTGCCCGCCTCGTGTTCGCTCTGTTTGCAGATCGGACTGCGCTGTGTGAGACCGCTCCGAGCCAGCGTTCTGTGCCATGCTGTTGCAGACTCGCCCGTTCGCTGGCTTTGTTCGCTTTCACACTTGCACAAAGACTTTCCGGCAGAAGACTGACTAGCCTCTCTACTGACGCTGGCGTGTCAACGTTTCGGTGAGGTTGTTTGTGCGTACCTTTCATTTCCCCGTCGTTGCTACGCTTCGAGTCTGAAAGATACGTGGCCGTGTTCCGAGGATCAAGACGACGTGTAGCGGCCCGCGAACTGAGGCGGCGGTGCTCCGATGACCAGGTGGGTATTCGGGGTCCCGCATTGGCGGCGCCCCTCCCGATGGCGAGCGCGCGCTTACGAGCAACGCCGACCCAAAAAGGAAGCGCTCAATAGCGGCGAAGGATTATCCGTCATCAGCGGCGTGGGGAGCGTCGCCCGGACCGCACCGACGCCCGCCACATGTTCCCTGGTCGCTTCCAAAGAACAATCGTTGACGTCGATGACAACGTCCGGTTCGGTGTGTCAATGTCCCGGTTCGCATTGCCTTTTCGGGCGATTATACGAGCCCCTGGCCAGGTGTAAGTGGTTGATGGACCGTCAGCGCAGCAGGAGTGCCACTGCTGGTGCTCCCGCTGCGCACGGTCTATCGAAACCTTCCATTGTGCGGCTCCGTGTTGACCTCGTTGAGAGCTCCGAACGGCGGCAGCGAGGCGGGCTCTCGACGCCGGCGCCGTCCACTGATGGGCCCCGATAAAGCCCATTTCGTGATCCCTCCATCCCCCCTTCATTTGATTCCGCCCCCGCGCTGATTGGCTGCGTCCGTGGCCACTTGCCATACGCGTCCAGCCGCTTGTCCTCGGGCTGAGCACGGCCAGACGCTTCGCTGCTTCTTCTGCGAGGCGCGGCCGCCACGTTCTTCATTCCGTGCTCGCCCCGTCCTTGTTCTCCTGTCGGCCTATGTCTCCTGCTGTGCCTGTTACGCCATCCCGCCCGCACTCGTATGTCCTTTGTGCGGCTTGTCGAGCTAACATAGGCACCTTCAGCCCCCGCTCAACCGTAACTTCAGCGCTATGGAAGCGACTCAACCCAAGCCTGGAGCTCTATATCCATACGCCTGCCCCGCTGGCTCGCAGCGGGGCAGCCTATGTATATATCGAGACTTCATTTGCGCCCCGGAGCGGGGCGGAGAAGAGGTGGGCTTGGACTTCCTTTCTCATCCACACGCATGCCTTCCCCCCTCTATGTGCGTTCACGGGGCGGTTCTGGACTTTCTGATTTGATCCTCGCGACGGCGCACATGCTCGTGCCGCGGGGCTCGCGCGACCGTCCTCCACGAGGCCTACATACCGTCGGCACTCTCGAGCTTGCGTCGGGAATACTGCCATACTTGGGTAAGGCTCTAAGGCGCGCCGAGGTCGACTAAGCCAGCCAGACAAAGACCAGTGAGAGCTGCTGCTTTCGTTGGCGACTCGCCGCTATCGATGCCTCTGGCGAGTGAATGTTGCGCCTTTCGTCATGGCGCTTCACGCAACGGTGCGCACAGGAAACCTCGTGTATGGACTCAGCACCTTCTTCTTTCATGAACAGCTAGACGCCGAGGTGTGGTCATCCGCACCTGACATATCCATCCCCCATCCATCTGTCTTTACCTCTACCCATCACGCCTTCTCCGACTCGACCAGGTACGGCTTACTACCCCGCCTATGTTTTAATTAGCGTCTCGCAGGCAGGCAGAGGTGCTGACATATCCCGACTGGGTCCCCGGTGCCCACCCCCGCCATTTTCCATAGATAGCTGCGCCGATCATGCCATGTTAAGGTTTATACGCCCCGCCGGCCTCGTGTAAGGCTGCCCGGGTGCTGTCAATACGCTTCGCAGGTGCCAAGGGCAGAACAATTGACCCAGCCAGCGTCGGGCTATTCAGGTGAGCTCTTTGTCAGTCAGTGCCCAGTGGCGGTGACGGGATTGGTTTGCCTTGGGAAGTGTGTGTTGGTGTTATTTTCGGCCGCGATGCTATGTCGTCACTTTGGCTTCGCTGGCCCAGGGCGACAATCTTCGCCTCGGTAGGTCGGCGAGTCGCTACCCGCGTTAGTACTCTGCGCTGTTTAATGAATCCTCGTCGCCCCGTCGCGTTCTTCTCTTCCTTATCCTAGACGCCCAGCGACCTAGCGGACTTCCGAGACACCAGGAACACATCTCAGCCTCCGGCCGCTTCTTCCTTCCCCAAGGACAAAGCTCAGTCTTCTAGCCCTGTCGTGAGTCCCCTTCAATTCCAAATACTCGTCCAGTAGGCGCTGCCGCGCCCGAACAGCATGGGGGAAGACAAGAATCGGAATGACACCTAACACGTTGCGGGAAAACAAACATAGGTGGCTGGTGGCACGCCACAATCGCTGCTCGGGTGACCAGAAACGCGTTTTCCTGCCCGCAAGGGCGGAGACCAGTCGGCGCAATTGCTGGTATGGGGGGGCTGCTGCTGCTCTGATTTCGCCAGCTGCAGGCGATAGCTGTCTTAGCCAGGTCCTAGGGTTATCTGGGCGCTGCGCAGCGCGATGGCCCTCGGAGGCAGGTATACCTCCGCGAGACCCTTGATTTGACGGACTACGCTCGATGCCTCAGTGTCTTCATTCTGTTCGTACCTCTGAAACAACTCGAAAATATGCGAGCGTTTAGGGCCGTCCCGACGTCGACCACGACATCGCCGTGGATCCGTATTTTTGTGGGCCCGGAGCACTTTCCCCTCCGAGCCCCCTCGATGCCCGTCCATTCATTGGTACTCGGTTATGCGTAGGGAAAGCCACTTCGCAAGATGGGATACCTTCTCCTCCCAAACTTCTCTCTATGACTGGTATCTAAAGCTAGGATGCAGATATCCCAGCTCTTCCAGCTCCTGCTGCGTCAATCCCTCCAGCCTGTAGTCTCTCGCGCCGCTGGCCCTCTTTTGGTTCTCGTACTTGATATACAGTACGCCGATCAGCGCAAGCACGCAGACGGCGCTGCTCGTGGCGAGGTTCAGGCTGTTCCCTTCGTGGTAGTCGGGTGCGTCGCTCGGGAGATAGGTCCATACGCTGTCCCCGTTCGTCAATATCACCACCGCTGGAGTTGGGAGATGGTGGACGGCACGTACGCTATGATGGATCCTAGCGCACCGATCCCTGCGACGGCCCCGCCAGTTGATATTAGCCGATAAATCCGCACCGTCGCGCCATCTTAATGTTGCTCACCGGGAATTATCGCCGTCGTCACCGCTCGGACAGTATCCGGTGCTGCATTGTCCACTCCCCACGCTACAAACATCGGGATAGTCGGAGACCCCCCTGCGATCGAGAGGAAGCATGCCGCGTATCTGAACCAGGCCTCAGCTCACTTTCCTTCACAGTCGGAAAAGACCTGCCCATACCTCGCGCGCGAGTCTTTCGTCCCGATGAAGATGGCGTAGCCAGTGACCATGAGAAGGACGGAGATGCAGATCGGGAAGCCGCGTTGTTTGATGCGATAGCTAAAGTATGTGTTTATGACCACCCACGCTGCGCCCACGACGTAGGGGGGAACTGTTCGGAGCTGCGATTCCACAGTCGCTGTCGTCGTGGTAAGCTCTTTTCTTCCCTTCGGCAGAGTTGTTGAAATAACTTACTAAAGTGTCCCACTAGACAAGCGCGAGAATTGTTGCAGGTATCGTGGCGTGTGGCTAATGAATAGAATCTACGTACGCGTTGCTACCACTGTTGGCATGTATAGACTTAATCCTTGGAAGGAGATGTTGAGCATCAGGAAACATATCGCGCAGAGGGTGGTCTTGTTACGTCAAGAGTCAGCCTTCAATGGGCTTCGCTAGTAACTGACTACCCACGTTAAAATTGAAGGCGCGAAGGACTAAACGCCAGGTCGTGCGTTCCTTTCGTCCGGTCGTTGACACAACTTGGTCTGCCGCGATTCTAGCCATGGCCAGCGACCTCTCCTCCGGGCTCAGTAATCTTGAACGTTGCGGGTCATCCGGGATTATCATAAAGCATAAGAGCCCGAAGCCAGAGGTGATTATTCCTAAAGTTTGTTTTTGTCACGTCCTTACACTTTTCACATAGCAAAGACTGACCTTCAACGAGAAAGATCTTCCGCCAGGACGTTACCGTTCCGATATCATTCATGGACAGCAGTCCGGATGCCAGCAGTCCGCCGACTACAAGTGTCCCATCTGTCAGTTGTCGATTCATTCCTCACTGTCGAAAACGTACACGCTCCCGCGAAGGTTGGTGCAAGACCTAGCACGACACCCACCCGCAACACTAGTTCCTCGCGGCGGTAATACTGGAACCGAATACTCTCTGGTTAGGGTTGCCCAAAACTCGATAGCAACGCCACTTACCCGTGACATAACGTAAGTTAGCCCCGGCTGGCAGATCGTTCAGTGGTACACTGCTCCTCAAAGCCGTGGAATCATCGCACCAAAGTCCCCCCTTCTGCGGCCCCCAGAAATATCCGCGTGACAAGCAGACCCGCGAAGTCGCGGGTGAATGCAGACGCAATCGTTATGACACCGAATGCCGTGACGATGAATGCCAGCCATATCGATCCGAAGTGCTTCAAAGCGAGATTGGAAGGGACCTCAGATAGGATATACTTCCGATGGCCTCTGTGAGATGGACTTCGCTCAAACGTGTCCGACTTACGCAGATATAGAAGACCGTTAGTGCGACATTGTACTCGTACCCAGCCAGACGCAGATCCTTTTCTATGCCTGTCGTTGACGAGTGAGGGATAAGGAAGGCGGGAGCACGGCTGACTATACGCACCTGCAATCTTGGCATTTCCTTGACGCGATTACAATTGTATATGAGCTATATTTACGAGAAGTTAACTGACATCCCGATTCTGACCTATGGCAGTCCTAGGAATGATCATTACTGTTTAGGACAATCGGAGAAGAAGCCACCACTTTACCTATCAATGAAGTTCAGTATGACTGTGGTACTAATATCAGTAGCGAGCGGCGCCAAGGTGTCCGGCACTCACAAGTCACTGTGAACAACGGTAATAAGACCCAGTCAAGTTTCCTCAGTAATCGTCTCTCAAGCCCCTGGTCGGGGCTGTCTACTTCCACATCGGCGGAGACCTCTTGCTTGAAGACTTCCTCACACAAAACTGACATCGAAGGGAATGTTACTCCAAGCCGCAAAGAGATATCTTACACGGTCCTCTTATAGACCGCACAGCTCCGCTTCCACGAGATATGGCCGTCGGAAAAGTCGACTGGAAACTAACTATTCCAACTTCTTTGGTGGCCTTAGTGTCGAGTCTGCGCTAATAGATAGATGATGTGTAGAGCATATCCTGAGCCTATTACGTGCCCATTACCAATACATAGCAAGCCAACGAACGCCTTAGGACTCGCTGCAAACTTAGGTGGCCGTGAGCAAGAGCGCCCATGCGATCGCGTATGCTCCGCACTATCGCCGCACGGTGAGAAATAAAGGGGACTTGTAGATATACAGCGATGCATCGTAATACAAGTCGTTTGAAAGAGAGAGGGCGCATCAAGAGAGAATCTCTACGTAAAATGAGGGATTGACTACTTAAAAGCCACGTGCCAGGCCAACCTCGAGCGCTCATTGGCTGGTTGCTCTGGCTGGCGTTGCGGGGGTTTTCTCAGGCTCGGTGTTCGCTCAATGACCACTGACGACCAGTAATACGAAACGGACAGTCACGGCGGCCCGAAGTCTACTCCGTTCTTTCTCGACATTTGAGCCATTCATCGGAGGTGCTTGACAACTAACATATTGGCCATATCGAGGTTGTCTTGTGATCACTGATTAAGTTGGGAAAGTCAGGCGGTGAGACTTCTACTGTTAGTCGACGGCAACTCGACACTGCGATGAATCCATAACTCCGACTCTCTTACCCCGAGAGAATCTCTCTCTCGGCCGCAAGCGGCCTCTATGTGTGAGCAAGGTAGATACATATACCCGCAGGCGCAATACTCAGGCGACCCCTCGCTTCGCTTCCGCCCCACTCGATGTCAAACAGCTTCGACGACATTGATGAAAAGGCGCAACCTTCGGTGGAGGTCTATGCTACGTCTCTGTGCATTAACCCAGGCGAAGAGAGAAGACTTGTCTGTAAACTGGATTGGTTACTTCTCCCCCTATTCACTGTCATCTGTGAGGAGCTTGCCCACGTCTGCGCTCGAGCTTGCTGAGACAGCGACAGATGGATTGAACTTTATCGACAGGTGCTGCTCTCTGCGTCTCGATTGCTCTAAGGATGATGTTTGCTAACATGCGGCGATTATTCACCATTCCAGGACCGCAATCGGTACGTCTGTCTCTACCGAAGCAGGATTCGTTTACGACGGTATGAGTAGGGAACGCGAAGATTGCAGGTCAAACCGAAGCCTAGAGATATTGGTAGCTGGTTGCTTACTCCACGCGTAGGGCTCGAAAAGGATCTGGGCCTGGTAGGGTATGACTACCATATTGGGCTTACCGTATTCTACGTGTTTGTCAGTCAACTCTGCTGCGTATTCGGTCGGCGTCTCACCACTAGATTCCAGTATATTATTTCAGAGATACCGTCGAATCTCATTCTCAAACGCATCGGCTCGATATGGCTAGCGATTCTAATCACGTCATTCGGGGCAGTATCGATAGGGTCTGCGTTTATGGAGAGTTTCGGAGGTTTGATGGCAACACGGGTCATATTGGGGATAGCGGAAGGCGGTACTCTGGTACGGCGCAAAAACTTGTCTGAGGCGAATGTTACTCAAGGCCACGTCAAGTCAGGACTGACGTACGTCATCTCGAGGGTACGTAGCAATTTCTACTCTCCGCATCAATGCCCTGCACTGAGACGAGATGGCAGTATTATCGTCGCAATGAGCTCGTCCTGCGGATAGGTATCTTCTTCGGACTTTCACCTACAATCGCGGGAGCGTGTGAGTTGCCTCGGTTCGTTTCGTCGCCTCCCTGACGTATGTACTTCGTCAGTCGGAGGACTGCTGGCATCCGGACTTCTCTCTATACCTGACATCGGGGTCGTAACTTCATGGAGGAAGATATTCCTTGTCGAGGGTAGACCTTCAATCCTTGTTAATTCTTCCCCAGGAGTGACGACAATGGGCAGGTATAATCACCGCGGGGTTTGGGCTCTTATGTTTCCTCATCATCCCCGACGACCCACAGCATTCGAGGATGCTCAGCGCTGAAGAGAGGGCCATTGCCCTCGCCCGGATTGAAGCAGATCAACCAGGGGCTAAGGGAGGGGGGAGGGAGAAGACGACAGTACAGCTGGTTCTGCGTGCATTCAATGTCAACGTACGTCTTGCAGTCTGGTAATCAATCGGCGGGGATATAGTAATGGATCGCAGACGATCATCTGCTCGCTATGCTACTTGATGATCAATATCTCCTTCCAGGGACTTAGCTTGTTCATGCCCACTGTAGTTGCGACGCGTGAGTCCTCATAGACGATGAGCATAGAGCTCAGCTGACGAGAGAACTGTGAAGTCGGACATTTTAGTGAGTACCACGCCTTTCCGAGTGAACAAGACAAACCTCACCATTGGATCTCAGCCACTGTGGAGTCTCAACTGCGTACCGTTCCGCCGTATCTGGTCGGAGCAGCATGGGTCTTGATGAACTCGTACCACAGCTACCGGATGAAGCAACGAGCGACTCCGCTCGTTCTCTCCGTGCTTCTGATCGTGATGGGATACGCGATTTTTATAGGAACGCAGAACAGTCACGCTAGGTAGGCATTGTGTGCTGATAAGTTGATATTCTTTGTGTTTATCATACCAGGTATGGGGCGTGCTTCCTTGCGATAGCTGGGGGCTCGCCTAGTGTGCCCATGCTCATGTCCTGGGCCACGGACAACGCAGCCCCTGACACTGTGCGAGCGGTTACAACTGCTCTCGTTCCTGGCATAGGAGCATTAGGATCAGTGATAGCGTACGTACCTTCATGAATTTACGTGACGCCAATGGTTGATGAACTTCGTCGTAGCGTCTGGACTTATCTCCCCACTGACGCACCGGAATACCGCAAGGGTAACTCGTTGAATCTCGCGACGAGCTGCACTACCTGTATACTCATTGTGGTGTTGGCGCTGTACGTCCGGTACGAGAATGGCAAGCGGGAACGAGGAGAGCGGGATTATCGTTTGGACGGAAAGACGGCGGAGGAGATAGAGCAATTAGGGTACCGGCATCCTGCCTTCAGATATCATATCTGAGCTTTCTGTATAAACGAGAGGTAGTACGAGCAGGAAGGCAGCCTGCTGAGTCATCAGCCTCGAGAATGAGCACCGTAGCGCATAAGAACGAGCGTAGCCGCAGCCCTCTCAATCTAGCTCGCTATGATATTGATTCTCTCGAGTTCGACGCCTACTTCAGGAGGTTGCATTGTGAAAGCAAAGGTCAATTGCAGTGGTTCGGGTGTACGACGCTCACCAGTCTTACGCGAGACTATTGATATTGGAGTGGAATTACTCGTTGAGTCACCTTCCAAAACAGATGCGTCGCGAATAATGATTTGACTGGCAAAAACTGACGTCAGCAGCATTATTCAAAACGCCCCAGAACAAGCTTAAGTCTGAACATAGGCTTCGCAGACAAAGTGATGAAGGGATATCTCCGCAATCCAGGCTTAGCGTCCACTATACGACGTCCCCCTCATGGCTGGATGTATGGATCAAAGCAGGGGAGGCAGAGGAACACGCGAACATACTGAGAAGGCACGTGCGCTGCCCAAATATGGCGAGCGTCGATCAGCTGGGGGACGGTGAGTCAAGGGAGGGAGCACTGCTCCTGTTCTGTACCAACAAGGGCAGCACCGACGACCGCGCTACAGCCTGCTCTGCTACACCTATACCTTGTTTCTGTCTCTCTACGGGCCTTGCATTAGCTTACACGGCCCCCCTGTTGTCACTCCGCATCTTAGTTCTTATATCTATTCACCCAACTTTGCGCTTGATATCTTTGTTTAATGCCCTCACGAAATAACCGCAATGCAGCAAGAAGAAATAATAACGCACGTATTTATGCCTCGCCGGCTCAATCCGAGTCAGTCGAGGTCGACTCGACGTTCTTATTGCCGCCCGAGAACGTGCAGCAGCCGGTCGACGATCCGCCAGGCCATGGCGAGCAGATTTACGACTTTGGAGACGATGTAGAGCGCGACGGAGTGGGCGGGCTCATCCAGTTTGACGCGGAGGAGGATACTCAGCCGGTCTCGCATGCTAAAGAGGAGTCATCCGCGCCTTCCCCGCTCTCCCTCGAGCCGACATCACCGTTACCTGGGGCGCGTCAAGCACCTTCGCGTGTAGCGCCCGAGTCGGGAGGACGGTCTGATGTAGGACATACCAGAGCCCCAGTTATGGCGCGGTGAGTCGTCTTATTCTATATATCTGAAGTCTGCCGCAGTTAGAGTTCCCGGTCGCGCGGTGAAATGGTGTGGTCATCGGCGCCATGGCGGTGACCGTTCTATCCTGTATGAAGACTTGATCCTTCTGGCCAAGCTGTGTTGGATCCTGCCTTCATTTCACCTTTAGGACGCAGCAGTGGCACGACAGGAGATGGAGCTGCCAGCCCGTCCGCACGTGCCGCTGCTGCCCGTCTTAAGGTCCGCGACCGCGATAGTACCCTCTCTCCTCCATTCTTTGTGCTTCTTATGTCCTACATGCTCCATCGCCTGTCCACTCCTTAGAACGCCCGCTCATCTCCGTTCGATAGCGAACCGACTATGCTTGAAGCGTTTTCGCGTACTATGCGCAACTACGTCCCGTCGTCTATCCCGGTGCCCTCTGCCGCCCCGTCCCCGCCTCGTGTTTCCCGACCGGTCTCGTTTGGTAGCTTCATGTCGTCCTCGCCGGCTTTCAGTCCGACTTCCGCTCCGAGCGAGAAACGGAGGGGGAGCGCCACAGGCCCGCGTGATCCGCATCTGGTTTCGACGGCAGGTCGTGGGCAGTCGGACTCCCCTAGATATGATCCTGTGATCTTGGACTCGGGCGATGAGGATCAGGAACTCGGAAGAACGGTCACATATCCCGGTCTCAAAGACGAAGAGGATATTGTATGGGCGGGCTGGGATACCCTGCAAGTGGATCCCTTCGAGAAGTCCCGGTAAGGCTGATCATTTACCGATGCCCGTCCCACTGAATGCCGACATCGGCGTTTCTGGTCACAGTCGCGTCCTCCTGCTGGGTTATCGGACGGGTTTACAGATTTGGGACTGCACGAGTCTCGCGTCCGTTACGGAGATTCTGAATATTCGCGACCCAGCTGTAGGCCGAGTTGTACACGCCGGCGTCCTGCCTACGCCCCCGAAGACGGACGACGACGCCTTCGCTACTGCAAGGCCTCTCGTCGGTATAATGTGAGTCTCTGTTCACCTGCTACCCGGCTTTTTATCAATTGCATGTAATAGTCATCTCAACGGCGACGACTCGGATTATCTCGTTTATTCGTTACGCACTCATTCCGTGTTCAAGCAACTGTCTTTACCGGGCGCTATATCTTTTTCAGCCACCAGCAAGCTTGTCGTAGTGGTAAGTGTGATTTGCGGAAGTCGGCGCGTTCGATATGTTGAACCTTCTTCAGGCCACGACCGCGCCGCCGGCGCTCCACGTCCTCACATCTTCACTTGCAACATTATTGACGATTCCTTCATCCTCGCTTACACCTCTCGTACCTCATTCATATTCTCCACCTCCTCCGGATGCAAGGACTGTATTACCACAAGACATAGAAATCAGCGACAATCAATACCTCTCACTTAGTTCACGACCCCGTCCCATATTCGCTCTTTCAGGCCGCCTGCTCGCTTTCGCGTCTACTCCTCCTTCGCCCGAAGCCTTGCCTTCAGTGTCTTCTCCAGAGCCGCAATCGGTGCCATCCTCCGACCGCGCGTCGCTTCCGTTCGGAATCTCGCAGTCCGACTTTGGTAACGCCGCTGTGAAAGTAGGCGGTAGTGTCCTCAGCGGTATGAAATCCCTGGGCGGATTGGCATACGCCGCTGCTCGCTCTCGCCTTGCAGGACCCCAGGACCGTTTGGACGAGGAGAACAGCCTTGAGGCCGACGCTCCGACTGCAGTAGCCGGACTTACCAACATCTTTTTCTCGAAGAGCGCGCCAGCAGCTACGGGCGGCCATCATCGCAGCTCTTCCGTCTCGTCGGTCGCCACCGCTGCTCTAGAGCGGGCGAGCGGCGTTCGTAATGTTTTATCCGGGTCTGTGTTTAATGTGAAATCTACGTCGGACACATCGTTGTCGTCCAAGGGACAGTACGTCACTGTTCTGGACGTTGCACCTCTCCTGGTTTCGCGGCCCTCTCAGCTGGTGTCCCGGTTCCTCGCGTTGAAGGAGCAACCAGTATATACTATAGGCTTCTCGTCGGACGGCACTTCCCTCGTCGTCACGCCGAAGGATGGTCAGGTCGCGAAAGTATTCGCGCTCAAACCTGGACTCAGATCGTTACGCCATTCATATCGGGCGCAATTGGGCGAAGACAATATGGTTGCCACTGGAGGTCCACCTGCCTCCGATGTACGGCCTGTAGCGGCCGGCGCACCTTGGCACGTATACGACTTGCGTCGAGGTCGTACGTCTGCCGTGATCGAGAGCGTCGACTGCGCTCGCGATGGACGATGGATCGCTCTTGGCTCACGGAAGCGTACGCTGCACGTTTTTGCGGTGAATCCATACGGCGGGAAGCCGGATTTACGCAGTCACATGGAAGGTAAAGTACGAGATCATCCCGAGTTGGTGCGTACAGTAGTAAACAACGTTGCTGGATATAACTGACACATAATTGAACACTTGCAACAGCAGCCCTTGTCCACGGCCGTTACTCCCATTACTCGTTTTCGGTTCAGGGCACGACGATCCCGACTCCCAGTGCCCCTCGCCTTTACGTTCATTCAATCGAGGGACTTTTGTGTACCGACAAACCTGCTTCCTGCTCCATTGTCCTATCCATCTTCTCCCCAATCGTTGTCGGTTCAGTCGTCACCGGCCGGCGCTTTGAAACCCTTGTCTCCGGTCCCAACTCTGCATCGACCTGCGAATTTCCAAGATTTGCTAGTGCTAGACCCTGACGATGGGACCTTGTCCCTAAGGAGGCTGACTGTCGAAGAACAATACGATCAAGGTTTGGCTGTACCGGGCTCTATCCCTATCGTGGGCGGTGTGAGTGTGTCTCTCCCGGTCGGAAGCCCTCCGAATCGCATGGGCACGTCGCCGTCCAATCGCAGTGATCACTCGAGCCCGAGGTCTTCCGGGCTGACTCAAGTTATGGAGAAGTCCGAATTGGGTGCCAAAGACACCATCGTCGCGACTTGGAATCTGCGTCGGAGCCGAGGGTGGCAAGAGGTCAAACACACTCTGGCAGCGACTCATGCGCGGCCTGTTTCTGTCAGTGCCCGCAAGGAGTAAGTTCTTTCCTCGAGTTGTACAACCGATACTTACGTATTTCCCTTAGCTGGCTGGCCCATGCTGAGCTCTCTACTTTCTCCCGCTCGAAGAATGTGGTGCCAAGAGTTATCTATCTGTCGCATCAAATTGCCTTCCATGCGTTCGGCGAGGACTATCATGCCCTCATCCGGCGTTATCAGTTTGACGTGCCGGTCTCAAAGATCGAGGTGCGTCGAGAGGTGCAGGCGAGCGCATATTCGACTGGACTGGGTGGGGAGACGTTCGTCCAGGGTGCACATGTCGCCGCCGATATTCGGGCGCCTGCGTCGTCTTTCGATGAACCCATTGCCTCCGCCATTTCAGCTGATTTCGACTATCATTACCCTTCTCCACCTGTGATTCCGATGTTTCCGAACGGCAATCCGGGAGCTCGTTCTTCGGCTATGAAAGCGATACCCATACGGTCAGTCACGTCTGGGATTAGCGATGGCATGAATGAGAGTCTAGGAAGGATTCGACGGGAACTCGGGAAAGTTCGGTCGCCCAAGGCAAAGCGTCGAAGCCCTCGAGTGGACGCTGCGTTGTCGTCCCCCGTTCCTCTGGAGTTCGACGAGGAAGACGAAGACTTCCTATTGCCTGCGAGGCAAAGGGAAGACCACGAGTCGATCTCACGTAGCGGCTCTGGTGCTTCGGCATCGATATCAACGCCGTCAACCCATGCGCAACTACTCGATAATGAGGACGTCGAGGTGTGGGATGCGGATGGCGGGTGGACATCTGAGGATAGACAAGCTGTTGACGATGCGGAGAGATTCGATGACCTTGTCGTCGGCTTTATGGACGAGGACCAAGTAAGTCCCGAGCCACATATTGTAGCTTCCTCTCCGTCAGGTAAGGGGAAACGAAAGTCTAAGCGGCGCGCGTGATGAGATGCGACGTGTGGCGAGGGAAGGACAGGCCGGCGGTAGTATTCGTAGCAGTTGTACTCCTCCTGTATACTACAGTATGATACAATAGCACTGGTCAACGGAGAAATCCCGCCGTTCAGCAAAATAGGGAAAGCCACATATGGCCATAGAAGAGCTTGTATATCAGAGGACCCGGCCGGCTGACACAATGTCCACATAGCCCTATAGCCCATGGCCCATAGCCCATTTGTCATCGGGCTACATAGACTTCGTAACTGCTTAGCCCTGTCCGACGTAGGACCGCAAGCCGGCTTGCTGGCCCCCTCGGGGCCTCTCGGCGCTCGCAAGCGAGCCCTTTGATTGTCACAGAACATCGAGCGGGAGCGGTGAATGTAGCGGGTTACCCGTTTCATTATCCCTCTTACCGTCTCGGCGCCAAGCTTCTTTTTCTGTCTACTGCTACTCTACGTTGCTTTCCTCTTTTATTCACGCTGTCTTTTATATCTCCTGCTTCAATCCCTTCAATTTTTTCTCGATCCTGTGCTCAATCTTTCGCTGTCTGGACTCATTGCATCACTTTTTCTCCTGCGCCGTCCGTTTCAATCGGTTCCCTTCTCCTCCCGTGCCGTCCATTACAATCGGCCGCCTTCTCCTCCTGTTTCCGGTCCTTTCTCGCTGTTATGATTTTCCCATGCTTATCTCATTCCATTTCCATTCCGAGCATTGCTATTGGACAGTACCTTTCTCTGAGTAGAACTTCCCATGGACGCTATCTTCTTCCCACACGTTATCTCCCTTGACTCACCTTCTACCAATAGGCGCCCTTGTATTTCTCATTTCTCTGAGTTACGTTCTCACAGGATAGCTTACGCGTCCTTTCTTATTGTTCTCTTCTTTGGGTATTAACCCCTATACCAGTTACTATATATACTGTAGGAAAACCCATGTATTCCTTAGTTCAACCTCCTGTTGAATACAGCGATTACCTGGACTCTTGACTTGACCGTTGGCATTGGCCCGGCCAGACCTACCTTTCAGTACGCTTACTGAGGTAGTGACGACATAACTGTTGGCACGTGGCCCAGTTATCTCAAGACGACTAGTTAGGACATCGCTTCCTAACATTAGGTTGAACTCTTCTACGACACTTGCCGACTTCTTCAAGCCTAGGCAACCCCTCCTCTACTCCTGATCATCCTCGTTGGACTCCCTAGTGGAATCCCGTCCCTTGAACCAGAACCATGACGACCGATCGATCCCACTGCCCAAGCGACTGGAGCAGCATTGCTGCACCAGTCATGCAAGCACGACCAACCGAAATCCATGATCCTCTTCCAGATGACTTGCAATGGACACAGGAAGAA